ATCTCCCGAGGGATCCCAGACTGTGAGAGGGCACAAGTGGGGCTGAGGGACACCCCCCCCAACCCCCACCCCTGCCAGTGCACAAATTTTTGTGCACCAGGCCTCTAGTTTAAAAATAATAGTGAAACCCATGGAATCCATTTGTATTTAGACATTAGCTGCTCTAAAATGCTACATTTAGGAATGGCAGGAAGTGAGCAGGAGTAAGAGAAGTATATTACCTATTCATTTATTAGGAAATAACATATTTCACAACGATATGATCACTTATTTAAAGGAGGGTATCAGTTTAAAATACATTTGTAGACTGTTCTGGGAATCAGCAAACCAGTTTGTAAGTAAAGCTTTATTGGAACTAGGTGTGCCCATTTGTTTGTATACCATCTGTGGCTCCTTTCATACTACAGTGGTAAGTGTGGCATAAACCATATGGCCTGTACTGTACTATCTGGCCACTTAAGAAATATATGTTACTAAATAAGAAACACAATTTTTGAGATCTGGGAGTTCCATTTAAGCAGTGAAACACCGTTCTAGTGTGGTTTGGTTCACTTGAGCAATGCTTATTGTATTGCTTTCTATAATCCATTTGTTAATTGTCTATTTAAACATAGCTATATATTTGTATTTATACCTTACAAATGGTATTCTCTGCATAGGATATTCTTGGAAAGATGATTGTGGTTCTCTGGGGAGGGGATCCAGATGACAGGCGATCTTGGTAGGAAAACATTTCACAGTGTCATCATTTGTGCTATTTGAATTTTGACCATGGTGCATGTATTGCGTTTTCAATTAAAGCAGGGGTTCTCAACCTTCCTAATGCTGCGACCCTTTAATACAGTTCCTCATGTTGTGGTGACCCCCAATTTCATTGTTACAAATTGAACATAATTAAAGCATAGTGATTAATCACAAAAACAATATGTAATTATATATGTGTTTTCCGATGGTCTTAGGCGACCCCTGTGAAAGGGTCATTCGACCCCCAAAGGGGTCGCGACCCACAGGTTGAGAACCGCTGAATTAAAGCAATTAGTTAACAAAAAATATGTACCTTCCTTGCATATTCCATGTATAAAGCACCCCTTTAACAGATAAATTTGCTTTTGGGGGTCCATGAACCCCCAAAAAGCAGATACAGATAATATACAAAAATTTGCATATAATTATAGGGATTTATAGGTCACTGGGAATACATGTGGGGTTCATGGAGCCTTAGTTAAGAACACCTGCTTTTAAATTTTTCCCTTTGAAACTAAAGGTGTATTAATTATTATAAAACTTTTTAAGATACATTTCTAACCAGTTCAAAATTAATTTGAAATCAAAAGAAATTTAAATAGTATAACTTTTAAAAGTTAAAGTTCTGGGTAAAGGATTCATATACATATAATAATTGGCTTTTTAGGCTAATAATTAAAATGTGAGTACCGATTTTCATAGACAGTTGTGTTGGTTGAGGTCCTAAAACTCTTTGGACATATGCTCCATGAAGACGGCATTTTGTCTGTTTTATTCATTGTTATAGCCCCAGAATCTAGAATAGTACTTGATAGAAATGAATATCTAGAAATGTAGCAAAATAGTTGAAAGGGTAAGAATAAAAAATTAGCACAAAAATGTTTTAGCAGAAATGAGAATTTCAATTTAAGGGAAAAAAAATTTGTTTTTTCCCTTTGTAATACTTATTATAATATTTTTTAAAAAAAATAATAAAAAAAAATTAGCACAAAAATGTTTTAGCAGAAACGAGAATTTCAATTTAAGGGAAAAAAATTTGTTTTTGGGGGAATTTTCAAATTTTATTTTGCTGTGGTCTTTCTTTTTCAGAGTAAATGGACAATATATTATGGAAGGACTTGCATCCAGCTTCCTGTTTACAATGGGAGGTTTAGGTTTCATAATCCTAGACCGATCCAATGCTCCAAATATTCCAAAACTCAACAGATTTCTTCTTCTGTTCATTGGATTCGTCTGTGTCCTATTGAGTTTTTTCATGGCCAGAGTATTCATGAGAATGAAACTGCCGTAAGTTATTAAGTACTTTGTGTAACAGCAACTTAACAACTTATGTTGCAAATTGGTACAATAATTACCTAGATCACATAAAATTATAGATTTAATTTAACTCGTTTTAAACAGATGAAAATTCTGAGAATAAAAAAATGTGACTTTCTTAAGGTTATAGCTATAGTTAGTAGCAAAATTGAGATGAATAGGTCTTCCTGGGTGCTATCTTCATGCATGAGAAAAGTTATTTATTTTGCAGTAGCATCATTGACCATGTTTCTCTAAAGTGCTTTTGGGTTAGTCTGTAACATATGGGATTTTAGTAGTATGGTGATAGTAGGGAATATTTTCAAGACATTAATTGCTGCTGCTCTTTGATATTGGTATGAGGAAAACTCATTAAGCCTTGGCCAGGAAAGGGGAGTTGCCTCTCCAAAAAGATGGGAAAAGGATTTTATTCATATATATCTCATTTTGATTCAGAAAACTTAGAATAAAGATAAATTTGTTTTATGGCAACTTTCATAATTCCATTGAGATCACTAATTTGAGATGTGGACAAGTATAATCATATTTCCCTATATTTCATTTCACCTATGGAACTTTTCAAGTTTCAACTATACTTATTTCTTAGAACTGATATCCCCTTATTTATTTATTTTTCCTAAAGAATAGTTTATTGATTTTTTTTAGAGAGAGAGGAAGGGAGAGGGAGAGACACATCAATGTGAAAGAAACATCGATCATTTGCTTCCCATATGCACCCCAATCCACAACCTAGGTATGTGCCCTGACTAGGAATTGAACTTGCAACCTTTTGGTGCATGGGATGATGATCCAACAAACTTAGTCACCCGGCTAGGGCTCCCCTTATTTTATTACAAGAGATAATAAAAGGGGGTATAGGAATGTGTTTGAGTTTCACAAGTTTACTTATTCTCTAGCTTAACCTGTACATTATCTGTAACACATCTGGGGGAGAATGGACAGACTTCCCCTGAGAAAGAGGTTCTTATCCTGCATTGGTGTTCCCAGCTTAGCCTTTTAGGACGGGAAAAGAGAGCAGTGTTCTTTGACAGCTGAATGTCGGTGTGGCCATAAAACTCCCTCAGACTCCTCTGCCAGTGGCTCCTGTTTCTATCCAAGAGAAATAATTTTGGCCATTGGCTAATTTGTATGAAGAATTAGGTACTTAAGCCTCTTCTTTTTGATCCTCTTTTTTCTGCCCCTGTTGGAAAAAGTGTACTGGAAGAGTAGATGGAAGAGGCTAGAGTTTTCCATAGCAAAACAAGAAAAAAGGAGGCTCCCAGAGAGGATAAGGCGACTATCACAAATTAACTAAAACATAAGGAACCTTTGGAGACACAGCAGAACAAAAGTGGGCTGTTGCCCATAGAACCAGACTTGTTCTCATCTTACCTATGCTTCCCATTCTTCCTTATGGTTTTAGGTCCTCTCCTTAGGATGAGTGTGTTTTTCTTTTAGCTCAGGCATTGACTTTTAGAATAATAGAGCTATTGACTGCTTACTACAGTGGTTCTCAACCTTCCTAATGCCGCGACCCTTTAATACAGTTCCTCATGTTGTGGTGACCCCCAACCATAAAATTATTTTTGTTGCTACTTCATAACGTAATTTTGCCTGTTTTGAATCGTAATGTAAGTATCTGATATGCAGGATGTATATAGGCGAACCCTGTGAAAGGGTTCGACCCCCAAAGGGGTCGCGACCCACAGGTTGAGAACCGCTGGCTTACTAAAATGCTTTTATAAGTATTGTAAAGCTGTATAAAATAGACTAAATAGATACTATTTTATGATTGAAGACAAAAGGCCTGCTTTGCTCAGATTGGTAAAAATTGCCATTTTAGTAATTTGAACTAGTGTTTATTAAGCCTGATAAGAAAAGCTGGGCCCCCTAAGAAAATCTTAAGATCATGGGATCAGTTCAGAAAAGAAATTTTTCTAAAGTCAATGAATGGGGGGTGGGGAGCGGGGAGGAGGAGGGGGACTTGAAAAATAAGAATGTAATATTATTTTACTTAAATTAATATCATTTAAGGACTAGGATGATGCATATATATGATTCTTACATATAAGTGAAATTTAATCCTCTAAGTCTCTCCCTCTCCCTCTCTCTCTCTCTCTCTCTCTCTCTCTCTCTCTCTCCCTCTCCCCCCCCCTCCCCCTTTCCCTCTTTCCCTTTATAAAATCAATAATAAAAAAACAAAACAAAACATACAAACATGTCCTCGGGTGAAGATTAAAAAAATGTTAAGATTGTAGAGACTCTGACATCTGCATAAGCTGGGTTGCTTCAGTGAGTGAAATTTAGGATCCAGGGTTGATTGTTAGCAAAGGAGGGAAGGAAATCTAACAAAACAAAATGTACAGCTGCTGAGGATGGTATGTGGTAGGGGGAGTGAGGAATTTGGAGGCCAGTTTGGGGTTTGCTTCGCTCTGAGACTTTGGGTCAGTTCTGTGGACTCTCAGATTCCAAACTTGTTAAATGAAGTTAATTATGTGACTCAGCGTTGCTGTTAAGATTAAATGAGAGGGTGTTTTATGTGCTCTCAAGCATAATATTAATAATTAGTATTTTTATTGTAAAGATAAACAGAATCCTAAAAAAAAGTTCTATTTGCAAATTGAATTATGGCCACCATTTAAAAAATAAATAGGCAATTTCTGTTTCTAAACGAAGAAAGTGAGATTTCTGTTTTAGGACTATTGGAGGAGATGGGCCAGAAGTGGAACATCTATGTAATGCTCTGTTCTTTTCTTGCTGTGCGATTTTGAGCAAACCA